ATATTTAAGAGCCATATTTTACCTTTTCCATCTCACTATGAGCACGCTACAGTCCCTTTCTACTTAATACATAGTGATGTCTGGTCGCCTCTTGTTGTTTCACGGATGAGTTATAAGTACTCTATAACATTTATCGATGACTGAACTCATTTCACTTGGCTTTATTTTCTTCAAAAAAAATTTGAAGTTTAATCTGTATTTAAACACATTCATGCTTATGTTACTACCCAATTTGATGCTCAGATATGTGTGCTACGGTCGGATTCAAGGGGAGAGTATTTTGATATGGATTTCTAAACTTAGTTAAAACAACATAGAATTCAATCACAGAAATCCTATCTAAGCACCCCACAAAAAAATGCGGTAGCAGAAATAAAGAATGGACATATTTTGAGTGTAGTCAGAACAATTTTACAAGACTTCCCATGTACCCTCTTGGTTTTGGGTGGAGGCGGCCAACACTGCTATGTATCTCATAAATCGTCTTCCTTTGTCTGTCTTAAATAATCCTCCTTTCCAATCTCCCCAAACCTCTAGATCTACTCAGGGTTTTTTGTTGTGCTTATTATGTTCACCTTCCACCTCATGAATGCACAAAACTAACTACACAAGCGGCTGCCTTTAAGGGGTACAGTTCTATACATAAGGGGTTCCTTTGTTATGATCCTTCGGCTTGATGCATTCGGATCTCTCGTAATGTATCTTTCCTTGAAAGTGTATCCTTTTTTCAACATATTGTAAAATTCCTATCTCCTTCCATTTCCTTGTTAAATAGTTTTGACTCTACAAGTACCTCAAGCATACCAATGCCACCTCAGTAGCAACTTCAGACCTACTTCAGGAAGCTACGATCTTCTTCAGTCTCAATGCCCCCTCCTCTCCACCACCAACTACTGATCCATTCACTTTAACTGCCCTATTAAGTATACCCGATCCTCCCCTTGAACCCACTATACCCATTTTACGTCGTTCTTCTAGAATTTCTCGCCCACCTGATAATTATGGTTTCTTACTGGACCATAGCTTCTTCTTTGTTGTTTTATCTACCATAGACACTCCCATATCTTACCAGTAGACTGTAGCAGAACCACATTGGAAGGATACCATGGATTCTGAGATCCGAGCCCTTCTTGAGAATGACACCTGGGACTTGGTCAATGCTCCACCTGAGACATCTCTCATAGGAAGCCGATGGGACTACTCTATGAAAGTGAAATATGATGAGAGACTAGACAAATATAAGGCTAGGTTGGTTGCACAAGGTTATAAATAGGAATATGGGATAGCCAATGAGGAGACTTTTGCTCCTGTAGCAAAAATGACCATTGTATGACTTCTGATGGCTATATCTGCATTCAAACAGTGGACAATCCATCAGATGGACGTATAGAATCCTATTCTCCACGAGGAGTTTAAGGAGACAATGTATATGAAGCCCCATCGTAGATATTGTACAGACCTACAGTTTTTTTGTCGTATGAACAATTCACTCTTTGATTTAAAGCAAGCTCCTGAGACCATTTTGGCTTCCCATGAAGATCCCAACATGTATCACAGGTGTGTCAGGGCTTCTGGAAATGGATGCACCAAAGTTTGTCTTTATCATCCACCCTGTTTTGAAAGTCACCCTTCTTAAAGACATTTCCCCTACCTGTAGTAACATTCCCTTTCGCTGCCAACATAACTACATCCCCTCCAGAATTATTCATTAAATTCCATCTACTTTCCTCTTACTGTACTAATGTATAAACCGGACAGATGGAAGATCCTTTCGCCTAGGATCTAGACTCTGATAGATTCATATACAGGATTCAAGCCATTGAGAAAAGCAAATACTCTTTGTTGGTAAACAAATTTCTTATACACTTTTGCATCTTCATCACACTTTTAGTCCACACTCTGATAATGATCTAACTCCATCCAGACGAAGGTCAAGTCTGAATAGTACACAAAAAGATTCATCTCCCCCTGTTTATAAGTGGATGATTCTGCCTGTAACTGATGGATTTTTGCATAGTGATGTAGCTCAGAATAAGTTGATTTTGCCTGTTATCAAATCTAATTAACCCATTTCAGCCCACATAAAGTTCATTCTCACTTGAGGTTGCATAGACACTAAAAGCCAGGACATGACCATGTTGTTTACCTAGTTCCTTATGTCATACTCAGCACTTCTAGAATTAGGTTTTTTAATTCTCCTATTTATATATCCTATCTTTCCCCTTGCAGCAATGTATAACTTGATCCCTATTGACCATTCCATTCCATTTGTCATCTAGGGAATATGTTTATACCCTACCATATCCACTAAACAAAACCTGTATTGTCTGGAATGAAATAGTATTAGTTCATACACATTCAATCTCAATCACCATGTTCATCAAGTCTAGAGCACAACCGACACTATGAAACTCAGGATGTGAATAATCTCCTGCAAGAAATACATGGCACAGTGTTGCTCACTTAAATCCAACTACACCCAAGCTTCTTCTTCAAGCCCCTTTCCTTCATCCTAACCCACATCCTCTCTACATCTTCTTTCCTTCAATTATTTAAATATATTTCCGCTATAATCATATATACAACAGCATTATAAGGCTCTATTTCAAAAATTTTCTCTCTAACCATCACTCCTTCTTCAATATTCCCATGGATTCTACAGGTTCCAAGTAGAGCTCCCCAAATGCTTGCACTAACTTCAACTCCTGCTGCTTTCATTTGACCAACAAAACTCATGGCCTTTGTCTATGACTCCAGATCTCCCCAGCAAATCAACCATACAAGTATAATGCTCACATGTTGGCTGAAGAAAACACTTGTATCTCGTGAAGTGAAAAAATACCTTTGTAATCTTTTTTTTTAATTCTAAAAAAATATTTCTTTATTTTTTATAAAAAAAGTTGAAATATCAAATTAACATAAAACTGACTAGAACTCCAAGAACACTTTCTGCAAAGTGACTTTTTACCCATTGCAAGTTTGATATGAACTTATGATAAGGAAACGACTTAGAAAACAATACCTTCCTAAATAAATCCCAAAATTCCTACAACTCTCCATAAATCAGCTACCATACTCATTTGATGTCTAAATTCCTAGAACTCTCCATAAGTGTGAAATGAATTTTCGGTAAGGAAACAACTTAGAAAACAATACCTGCCTAAATAAATCCCAAAATTCCTAGAACTCTGCACTCATTTGATGTCTAAATTCTCTTCAAATTTCACAAAACCGATGTTCAAAACCAAATTAAATTAAATCACTAGGGATATCAAGTTCCTCTCATTCAATTGCATTTATATTTACATACTAAATTAAATCAATCAGTCTAGAAACATAAGTTATGAAAATGTGAAATACTACATTTACATAAATGGCATAAAAAATTCTCTTCACAACATTATCATTCAACTACATTTTCATATTAAATTCTAAAATGTGAAAAAATTGGATCAATAAATACACCCAAAAACTTAGAGTAATGAAATATTAAGGAATCACTTGATGTCTACAGCCATTTTGTAAAAAATAGTAAACATGCACTTAATCAAGACTTATTGATGCACTTAATCAAGCAGTAGAGACAGAGACAATAACTATTTTCTAATGTCAACAGCCATTGGAACTCATTGATGTTGCACGTCTGCAGCTTCGTTGCCTTCCCTCAACAAGAAAACTAAAGAGGAATAGAGATGGATTTTTTACCTTGTACAAAATAGAGAGGAATAGATTAATGCATGGGTGAGAGGCGAGAGAAAAAGCTGAAAACCACGATGTTGGTGTTGTCATTGCCAGTTGGTGGAGAACTGAGAGAAACCCAAATCCATCAGATCGAAGAGAGAGAGAGAGAGAAAGCTACCTACTGTTGGATGTTGTTTGGTGGTACGAAGATTGATCGAGAAGACGTATTTGGTGCAAAGCTTGATTAATAGGGTGTTTGGTTTCATAGGCGTTTATTCAATAAACGCTGCCACATAGGCACCAATTCAGAAGTTCCCTCTCTTGCTCTTCCGTATGTATCCAGAATGGCAAAAGTAGACTTTGGTTTTTGTGTACGCCTATCATTTGGGGAAGTTAGTTTTTAAAGCTTCCACAAACAGTTAGGCATTTTTTCACTATTACGCTGATGTAGTGCCTATTGACATTTACTTGTCATAAATGGTTGTAATTATTACCTTTCTTGGTTTTGCAAACAAATAAAATACAAACATTGAATGAAAAAACGCATATTAAGAGAAAGAGATGACTAAGAGAGGAGATAGAGAAATACAAAGAGAGCAGAAAGAACAAGAAATGAAAAAATAAAAGAGGAAGAGGCCCTTCAGTCAGTTCAAAGATTGGCACCAAAAGTGGTTTTTCTTGTAGTGGTATTTAGGCCCTGAAACCATGGCTATTATGGAAGGGATTCAAAAGACTAAAGAGCTGAATATCAGAAAGTAGTTAAAGGTGATTCCAAGATTGTAATTAGCTAGTTATAAAAAAAAAGGAGGAAGGTTGATGGTGTTACATTTATGAAAAGAGGAAAACTGTAAAATGCTACAAGGGGTAAAAGTAATTTGTATACAATTGGGTCTAAAGAAATGCTAATTCACTGGCTGACACGCTTGAGAAACAAGGGGTGGGAAGGAATAATTTATTTTGGGCTATGAATGCTTATCCCTTCCTTTTCTTTGTACTAAAAGTTATGCCTTTTTAATGAAATTGATTTTGTTATTGGCCAAAAAAAATATAATTCTATCTTATTTATTTATATATATATATATGTTGTGATATGTTATCTAATAATGTTATTATGCAATTTACTTCAAATATATTCTATGAAAATTTCTTTTTTATACTAACCTTTTTTTTACATGCCCGTGCTTAGCACGGTCACCCCTTGTTAGTTAAATTAGTTATTTCAGCAAGTATTTGAAGTATTTAGTCTCTTATAACAAGTGGCACCCTACAGACCTAAGAAAGCAAAATCCAATCAAGGAAATAAACCAAGAACTTTCTCATTAACATGTCTTCTTGAGATGGTGCATTCAAAGGATGGTACAAACAGGTTTTGTTGCTCCACTCCTCACAGTTTCTGTGCCCATTAACTGACTCAGTTATATCATATTTTGAATTCTCCTCACTGTCCTAGTAGCTACGACAGGTTTTGCATTAATGGATTCTCCAAATCCTTTTGTCCGGAATATCTTGACGCAGAAAGAATTTCCTTTTAACTCAAAGGTGCAGGCATCACCCTCTTCAATGCTGTTTGCTTTCCAAAATTGAACCATCCCAGATCCCAGGTCCACACGGCCATCTGTCCTCTTTTTGACCTTCACAGGCCATGGCCTCCCCTCAGGATCCCAAAGCAGCATTGTTTTCACCTTGCTTCCAAGGACGTTCTCTTCCGCAAAAGCCTTCGGAATAGTCTGTTATCCAACATACAGAAAGAGTGAGGTGAAGAAATCAATTGAACTGAATCAAGCATTTCTTAATATCTCACTTTACCCAGGTATCTGAAGCATGAAATTTAGTCCAAAACTCACCATTTGATATTTTCTAGACTCACAGCAAGGAATAGTGAAATGRGGGTGCTCTGTTTTATATGAACAGGCAGCTTCAAATGCTGCATTTCTAGCCTTGATGACAGCTCTCCTCTTTGGACCATTAACATATCCACCTGCATGCATATGATGTAATGACATGAGTAGAATGAAGAGAGACAGAGTATAATGTGTTCTGAAAGGGAACCGAACCAGTTGCAAGAACTCACAATTTACTACACCAGAAACAATTGTTTCCTTCTTGATGTCTTTGGCCAACGGTTTGCCTTGATTTTCTTTCTTTCGGCAAGAACCAATTTTCACTTCTTTCTTGAGTTTTTTGCTCAGGATCTTGCCTTGAGTTTCTTTCCTTGGGCAGGAGTCGGCAACTATCTCCTCCTTCTTAATGTGCTTGGCCATTGACGACCTTCCCTGATTTTCTTCTGTTGTGTAGCAGTCAGCAACCGGTTCTTTCTTGATATCTCTGGCTATCAATCTAATCTGGTTTTCTTGATCTTGGTAGGGATGACTCTGACCCTGAGTCCCAACCTCGAGTGAAGGTACTTCCTTTTCACAAGCACTTGCATCGTATACCTTAACACTGAATTTTGAATTACCATGATACCTGAAAACTAGAAACTCCCCCAAAGCTAAAGAGTGATGTTTCACAAATCTCCCCCAGCCATTGCAGAAAAACAATTGCTTCTTAACCCATTTAACCTTCACATGCAAGGGTTTTCCTGTTGGACCCCTAAGGATGGATGCTTTGGAAACTGAACCATTGAAATGCTTGATAAATGATGGTGGTATCCGCTACAGAATTAAAGCAGTCCAAATTAAAAATCCATACAAAATCACAAAGAAAAGGTCTAAACTAATGGTATTCATGCAGTTGAAGACGAAAAACAAAATAACAACAACAAGAAGACTACTGCTACAGAAAAAGAAAATCGCTGTTCTTCGCCAATCAAACCCAGAAACGAATTGCAATGCTCACATGATCAGATTCCATACTTATTACATGCGGAGTGCAGAAAACATAGTCCTAGATTACTCGTACAATGAAGAGACAAAACGAATAGAACTGAAGATTGCGGAAGAACACCGGAAAAATTAATATTAGCCAAAAGGATGAAAAGAAGCCGAATATGTTGTAATCAAGAGGAACTGCAAACTTTACCAGTAGCCTGAAGTCTTCCCGGCGGAGTAAGACTTTGAAGAAGGAAGGTCTGTTCCGACGACAGGAATTAGCAACTGTACAGTCCATGTTTTCAGATTTGTTCGTTGGGCAGATAGTAATTCAAACCTTTATATTGCAATACAACACACAGCATGGATTGCCCCAACAGCAAGTCGGCAATCACATCGGCTGCCGCTACCATCCATCTCAGACAGACGGTCCAATGAAACACGCACACGATCTGTGTGTCAAACAAGAGTCCAGAGCAGATCACAATTGGTTAAACAATAGGAGACGTTGCCTGTTGCCTAAGTAAACACTCGGCTAACATACTACAGTCAATATTATATGAAGCCTAACTGGGTTTCCCTAACTGAGACCGGATCTGCTCCCTCACACAGGGCGTCTTACACCGACATCACAGGTACATCATCCCACCGTGTATTCGGAACATCTTTCGGGTAAAATACAAAAAATTTGCCTGAAGTTTCTGATTTGAGAAATTTGACAAAAAACTCCCTTCTACCCTTTCATAAATTATTTTACATATAAAATTATTAAAATAACCATGTTTTCATTAGATTAAAACATTAGACGATGATTGTTTTTCAAAAGTTGTCAAGTTTTTGTCAAGTTTTTCAAAAGTTCAGGGGAGATATTTGTAAAAATAAAACTACAGGAGAGGTTTTTATGATTGTTAGAAACTTCAGGGGGAGGTTTTTATATTTTACCCATTATTTATGAGAAATGTTCCCCATGTAGGGTAGAATGTGCCTGTGAGGTCGTTGTGAGGTAGGGGTGATCATGGGCCGGGCTAGGCTAAGCCCATGCGGGGCTTTGCACTTATGATAAGGACTATAGCTTAGGCCTGGGCCCGGCCCGGCCTAGGGTTCCAAGCCTGAAACATAAGCCCTAGCCCAAGTCTATACCGGCCCGGGCCGGGTCAGGCCTAATTCCAAGCCAATATCATTCATATGTAAAACATTACATATCAATATATTAAATGACATAACATGCATATAAACTTATTTTATATATTATATAATATAAAATATTACATGTAATATAAATTATACATGTCATGTTATAATATTTATATATAAAATAATGTAAAATAACATGTATACATTATACCCCAAATGTGTAAGTTTAAATATATGCGGGCCAGGTCGGGCTTGGGCCGGACTTAAAGTATTAAGCCCAAGCCCAGCCCTAAAATTTGAGGGCCTGATGTGGGTCCGGGCCCAAGCCGGGCCTGAACATAAAACCCAAGCCCAAGCCTGGAATTTCCAAACCGGGATTGTGCTGACCGGGCTGAAATGATCACCCCTATTTTGAGGCGCTCTATGCGAGAAGTAGATCCTAATTCTCCCTAACTTTTGTTTCAATTTTCAAACCAAATACGAGTTGAGATCTCCTGCCAACTGCATCATATCTCACAATGAAACTTCTGAGCCCATCATAAAGTGGGACCCATCATGTATGAGATGATGTTGATAGGGTGTTGATCCGGATTCACCAAACACAGTCTTCTTAAGTCTCAGCGCTAACATACCAATCTACTATATAGATACTACTAGGCCTCCTTGCACGACCGTGGTCATCGCTACTTCTCTATTTTGTTTTTCCACGTTACCATGCCATCCTACAATCCCAATAGACAACATTAGAACACCACTTAAATTGTTCAAAGTTAGTTGACCACTCTTTTATTCAACCCACCAAAGCATTTTCATTTTTATAGCATGAGATATTGCATAATATATAAATTGATAGATAAAAAATTAGTTTTTATTACTTCTTAATATTGGTAAGAAAAATTACAATGATTCATCCCAAGACTCTAAGTAGCCAATAAACAAGGGTGGGTGCCAGAGCTAGGCATTGATGCTAATTTATGGACGGGCATTGATGTATAGAGTGGGGGTTTTTGATATTTTGAATGTTTATAGCTTTGCAGTGGAAATCAAAAATCTGTATTGGGCCTATTCGTACTTCACTGAAATAAAATTGCAAATTCTATATGGCTTAATGAATTGTTTAGAAGTTGGTGTGAAAGTAACATGTTAGAAGAGTAGAAGAGCGCTCAACCTTACTTATATTCAAGATGGTTATCATGTAAATACAACTCATTCTTCTTTAACTCTATTAGGCCAATATATTTGTTTAAGTGTCAATTGGTCTAGGTAGCACCTAAGCAAGGTGTTTACTATTTATGCGAGATAGCTCGAACAAAATGGATAATAGACCAAAGATCTTAAAGTAGTCCTCATTATGCAGCCAATTATAGACTTTGAGAACTATTGCCACCTTGACTTGATCATGAGAAGTCATTAACCTTAGGTGATGAGCCAAGAAAGAATCTCTTCACAAACCTAGGGGTGGTTACAAGCCAAGCTTTTCACGAGCCATTTAAGCTTGTCTCCTGAAAAGCTGAGCTCGTCTCAGTTAAACCGAACTTCGAGCCGAGTTCAAGCCTAATATATAGGCTCATTGCTAATCAAGTCGAGCTCGAGCCCAATGAAGCTCAACTCATGAGGCTTGCAAGCCTAATCGAGCCTAGTATAATAAATAAATATTTTTTTATTATATACATACATATATACATATAGTAAATAATTTTTATAATTCTTATTTTTTATATATAAAATAAAAACATTTTTATATGTATATTTTTATTTTTATATGCATAATAATAAATAATTTTTATAATTCTAAATTTTTTGTATGTAAAATAAAAAATATTTTTATATTTACAATTTTTATTTATAGAAAAAAAACTTGGCTTGTAGTCGAGCTCGAGCCGAACCGAGCTTTAACTTGCGAGCTTTGAACCGAGCCGAGCTCGATCTCATGTCTCTAGCTTGAATTGAGCTCGAGCTCGAGCCCAACACATTTTCAGCAAGTCGAGCTCTAATAGCCAAGTATTCGTCTCGACTCAACTCGAATCCACCCCTACAGATACCTAATTCTTGTAGCCACCATTTGGACCAAAATACACAAGGGAATCTTTCTTTGTGTTTCTGAAAACCTCTCCTCTCAAAGAACCTATATTGTTAAGAAAAAAAGTCAAATCAAAATCAATATATTAATAAACAAACCAAAATCAAGCTTAACAAAATTTTAAAGTCATTTAGGCTATGGACATGAAGTTTTTGAGCCTAGTCATCTATATGGTCTCTACATTATCTGCAGTTTAAATTTATAGAGATATGGTAGTTTCATCATCTAGTAATTTTATTATATCTTGATTCCTCAATCATATTATAGCTGGATACAGAAATCTTACTCTAACAATACAAGCCAAGGACCAAGAGTTTAGTAGCTGATTTTCTTTTAATTTTATGTATATTTTTATTATAAAATAACAATACTTGCCTTGGCCCCATATCTAAACCACCATTACAACACAACCAAATCATTCATGATTATAAGGAAACTTTGATTCCATTCATCAGTGTATCAATGGCATCATCAGCACCACCTATAAGGAACCTCTTGGGGTTTAGATATCTTAAGTACATTTTCATCATTGTTATATTGAACGATGCCATCACTTTTGCAAAAAAAAAAAAAAAAAATGAGTCTCTTCTTTAATCTAGCATAAAATTGTAAAAGTCCCACGGTCCAGAATTTCATCCCAATTCCAAAAACTTTGATAAAAATCAATTAATAAATCAACTATAGTGATGAAACTTGTTCAATGAAATGGGTTCGCTAGAGAACCCAAATATGAAATACTAAATTGTATATTCAATCATTCTTCTTTTGAAGATTTTGTAAAATGGGACATTTTTGCCTTGTTCACTCCATTGTCATCAAGTTGGAATGACAAATCTTTGAGCAGAGGAGCCCATGAAATCTGCATTCTCATGTTAGAAATATAAACATATGTAAGTGCAAGATTTCATAAATTTCAAATGAAGAACAAGCATAGATGCTCTTAGTCATTTGAGTAACATATGGGAAATTGACTTTTATCGGTTTTCATCATCATCTTTTCAACCTCGATGGAAGCTTATTTTACATTTCACTAAGAAATTAACAAATATTTAGAATAAATTAACTTCACTATTGTCCTTATTCGTTCATAGATCATTAATAAGGATTGAGAAGCAAACATAACTTGCTACAAACAAGAAATCATCTACTTGTAGAGATAGTGAGAAGATATAGTCGTAGGGACATTTTTGTACTTATACTATCTTTTGTTGTACACATATTTTATGTACTCTTTATTTTGTACACTAAGGGCAGATTCTTCCTGTTATCTTCTTTAATATAAATATCTCTTTTAGGGTGTTAATAGACACTAGGTGACACACCCACAAATCTTCTGTGTTCTCTCTCTCTCTCTCTCTCTTTTATCTAACTCTAACATGGTATCAGAGCAAGTCACGATCTGATTTGCATATAACCTCTTCATAACCCTTTTCTTTTATGCTATCTAGAGTACTCCCTAACAGTATTTAGAAAGCTCTTGAGTGCACTTGAATCCCTTATCTGAGGTTGCATTTAATCAGAACTCTATAGAAACTTTTTCTGGACTATTGCACCATCAGATTTCTCCTTTTTGTTGGATCTCCTTCTAAAGGCATCGAATCAAGCTAAAACTTTGGATTTAGTGTCACCTAGAGCAGATCTACTGACTATAATTGATTTGGTTTGGATCAGATTTGATTTAGAAGGGTTTTAAGCCACTTCTGAGTATGGCAGACCTTTACAGTTTCCTTTTCTAGACAGTGGCTAAAAGGTACCTCTTTCTTTCTTCTAATTTGAACCCTACTCTTTGTTTAGAAGTGTGGTTTTCTTGCTCTTGTGATTCAATGGCATCAAAAAGGATGGAGGTTCTCCCTATTAAGTTTAATGGTACGAACTATGCATTTTGGAAATTTAATTTTCAATTTCATGTGGAGGCACTGGGATATTTGGATGGATTTGTAGTTAAACATGATGATTCAGACATTATGGGTCTTAATCAGTGGAGAATTGTAATGCGAAAATTGCATTATTGATCATAGGATCAATTGAAATTAACATTGCAATTCCTATGAGAGGGTACGGGACTACCTATGAGATGTATGAGTGTCTTGAGAAAGTATATCAGCAATCAAACACCTCGAGATAGTATTAGATAGAGGTTGACATCTTCTCATATTATCAAGGAGAAAGGAAGGTCCAAGAATATTATGTTGGGTTTATAAACCTTTGGACATAATATGAGCTTGTACACATGGCAAAGGATCTGTCGAAATGTTGCGTGAAGTATATGAAGGAACACTTTGATAAAAGGAAGATTATGCACTTCCTAATGCATCTCAAGCTTGAATTCGAAGTTGTAAGAGTTGAAACCAGATTTTCTACACAGAATACTCTGAATGGGAGAAAAGAGTCCAACATTGATATTGTTTTCCTGGCAACAAAACCGAAGGGGAAAAATGACTTCTCCAAAGCACAGTGCTATGAGTGTAAGGAGTTTGGGCATGTTGTCTCCCATTGCATGAAAAAGAATACATGCACTTACTATAATTCGACCATATTATTATTGAATGTTCTACTTGGCCTAAAAAAACAGTGAATCAAATCAGAAGAAATGAAGCTACAAGGCTTATCAGACTGCTGTAGATGCATCAGATACAGCATCCTCCATTACTTCTGTGACTGGCCAAAATGACACTTCAAGTGGCATGTCTCAAGAATAGATTCGACAACTCATGTCCTCGGTCATCTCTTCAACCTTCTCAGTTGTTGGTCTGTCTAGTAAGTGACCGACCTATTGTCCCTCACCGAATCATCTATAGTATATTGACTCAGGAACCTCTAACCATATGACAGGGGCCACACTTGGTTAACGTCCCAAACCCCATCTTCGCAATAAACACATTGTCACTGCTAATGGTGAGGAATTAGATATATTTGGATGTGATGATTTGTATTTATCTACTTCTAAGTCATCTCCATTTCATTTATCCAAAACATTATTTGTACCCAAGCTCACCACAAATTTGATTTCAGCTGGCCAACTAATAGAAAAAGGAAACATTGCCTCATTCACTTCTGATGGTTGTTTGATACAAGACTGGAAAACTAGAAGGTGAAGGGGAAGAGAGATGCACACTGCTATGTATCTTATAAATTGTCTTCCTTCGTCTGTCTTAAACAATCCTCCTTTCCAATCTCTCTTCCACAAACCTCTAGATCTGTTTAAGGTTTTTGGTTGTGCTTGTTTTGTTCACCTTCCACGTCATGAATGCACAAAGCTAACTACACAAGTGATGCATTCAGATCTCTTGTAATGTATCTTTTCTTGAAAGTGTATCATTTTCTGAACATATTGTAAAATTCCCAACTCCTTCCATTTCCTTATTGCACAGTTTTGACTCTACATGTACCTCAAGCATACCAATGCCACCTCCGCAGCAAGTTCAGACCTACTTCAGGAAGCAATGGTCTTCTTCAGTCTCAATGCCCCCCTCTGCTTTACCACCAGCTATTGATCCAATCATTCCAACTGCCCTAGTAAGTGTACCCAATCCTCCCCTTGAACCCACTATACCAATTTTACGTCGTTCTGCTAGAATTTCTCGCCCACCTAACAGTTATGGTTTTTTACCGGACCATAGCTTCTTCTTTGTTGTTTTATCTGCCAAAGTCACTCCTAGATCTTACCAGTAGTCTGTAGCAGAACCACACTAGAAAGATGCCATGGATTCTGAGATCCGAGCCCTTCTTGAGAATGACACCTGGAACTTGGTCAAAGCTCCACTTAAGACATCTCTCATTGGAAGCCGATGGGACTACTTTGTGAAACTGAAATATGATGGGAGCCTAAACAGATACAAGGCTAGGTTGGTTACACATAGTTATAAACTGGAATATGGGATTAACTATGAGGAAACTTTTCCTCTTGTAGAAAAAATGACCACTGTATGACTTCTGATGGCTATATTTGCATCCAAATAGAGGACAATCTATCAGATGGACGTAAAGAATCCTTTTCTCTATAGGGAGTTCAAGGAGAAAATCTTTATGAAGTCCCCGCCTGGATAATGTATAGACCAACAGTTTGTTTGTCGCCTGAAGAATTCACCCTTTGATTTAAAGCAAGCTCCTGAGCCCATTTTGGCTTCCCATGAAGATCCCAGCATGTACCACAGGTGTGTTAGGGCTTTTAGAAATGGGTGCACCATAGTTTGTTGCATAGACACTAAAAGCCAGGACATGACCATGTTGTTTTTCTAGTAGCATTTGTCATACTCAACACTTCTAGAATTAGGTTCTTTAATTCTCCCATTTATATATCCTATCTTTCCCCTTGTAGTAATGTATAACTTAATCCTTCTCGACCTTTCCATTCCATTTGTTATCCAGGGAATATGTTTATACCCTACCATATCCACTAAACAAAACCTATATTGTCTGGAATGAAATAGTATTAGTTCATACACATTCAATCTCAACCACCATGTTCAGCAAGTCTAGAGCACAACCGACACTATGAAACTCAGCATGTGAATAATCTCCTGCAAGAAATACATGAAGGTCAATGGCCAAGCACATTAAGAAGGAGGAGGTAGTTGCCAACTCCTGCCCAAGGAAAGAAACTCAAGGCAAGACCATGAACAAAAAAATCAAGAAAGAAGTGATAGTTGGTTCTTGACCAAAGAAAGAAAATCAAGGCAAACCGTTGGCCAAAGACATCAAGAAGGAAACAATTGTTTCTGGTGTAGTAAATTGTGAGTTCTTGCAACTGGTTCGGTTCCCTTTCAGAACACATTATACTCTGTCTCTCTTCATTCTACTCATGTCATTACATCATATGCATGCAGGTGGATATGTTAATGGTCCAAAGAGGAGAGCTGTCATCAAGGCTAGAAATGCAGCATTTGAAGCTGCCTGTTCATATAAAACAGAGCACCCYCATTTCACTATTCCTTGCTGTGAGTCTAGAAAATATCAAATGGTGAGTTTTGGACTAAATTTCATGCTTCAGATACCTGGGTAAAGTGAGATATTAAAAAATGCTTGATTCAGTTCATTTGATTTCTTCACCTCACTCTTTCTGTATGTTGGATGACAGACTATTCCGAAGGCTTTTGCCGAAGAGAACGTCCTTGGAAGCAAGGTGAAAACAATGCAGCTTTGGGATCCTGAGGGGAGACCATGGCCTGTGAAGGTCAAAAAGAGGACAGATGGCCGTGTCGACCTGGCATCTGGAATGGTTCAATTTTGGAAAGCAAACAGCATTGAAGAGGGTGATGCCTGCACCTTTGAGTTAAAAGGCAATTCATTCTTCGTCCAGATATTCCGAACAAAAGGATTTGGAGAATCCATTAATGTAAAACCTGTCGTAGCTACTAGGACAATGAGGAGAATTCAAAATATGATATAACTAAGTCAGTTAATGGGCACAGAAACTGTGAGGGGTGAAGCAAAACCTGTTTGTAGAATTAAATTGAGTCCGCGTTCTGTGCACCATGGGTGCACTGAACGAATGCACCCACCAATCACGTTTGACCACGTCGATTAAGTTTGTCTTGTGTAATGGTAACGTGGGTTTGGCCGTCAATCGACTCCGTCCGGTTCAACCGGATACAAAAAGACAACAGTTACAGATCACCGGTGCCTTCACTTCACACCAGTGCCTCGTGAACGACGAAGCTACCGGTGGCGAGAGACAAATCGTCCGGCCTCTAGTCTGTACGTGTTCTTCGTCTTCCTTTCCCTCTTCTTCCTCCTCTCTCTCCTCTTCTTCTTCTTCTTACAAACTAATGTTTTTTTTTTCTTTTCTATTATCAACAGGTCGGAACAGCTCACAGCGGCAGTCATCAACATTCACCTGAACGAAGGTAACTCCCGAAAACTGTTTTTTTTTTTTTTTTTCCTTTCTATTTTCCAGTTTCTGACAACCCACGAGCGAAGTCTCCTCCCACGGTGATTCGGCCATTGTATATTCTTTTATAATCTGTAACAGTACTGTTACCGGATCTCCAGCAAAGGAGAGAAGAACTAGGGGATGTCCTGAGAACACACAGGAACACAATTCCGGCGGCGGAATCGGAAAACTGGGATTTGCTGGGGTAATCGGAATTCCACTAGGAAAACTAATACAATTAAGGAATGGTAATGCTATTTTGTTTTGTCCTCGCAGTAATGCACAAATTAAGGTGAAGTTAGAGTTTTCAGAGATTGATACACTAGAAAGAGACGACGAAAAGAAGGGTAGATTATAAACAAAGAAGAGGCTTTCTAGAAGGAGAAGAGAGAAATGTTTCTGAGAAACCACGGAAGGTGATGAAAGCTTATGGAGAAAGAAAATTTCATTGTGTTGAAAGAAATAGGAAGAGAAGAAACAAGTTCAAGTTGAGAGCTTTGATCGTGTCTTCTCTTCTTTTGGCTTTTAATGGTGTGTGTAGGCATGTGAATTTTAAGCCAAACAAATGGGCTTAATTTACATGACAGTCTCTAAATAATATGGGCCTCCATCCGCATAAGGCCCAAGTCTACATAAGTACGTCTTGATGGCCTAAGGATCCAAGTGTATCAAGTCCAATTTGGCCCATCTCCTATTGTAATAGGGTGGTTCTATTGGCAATAATGGTGCATGTATAGGAGTTAATGCTAATCCAACACCCCACTCACATGGGATTGGTTAGCTAAGTGGGCTGAGGTGGCAGCCTTAACCCTTGGCTATAAATAGCCTTGCCTAGGGAAAAATAGGGCATTTTCTTCATTTTGAGAGAATCACACTGCAAGAAGCTCTCAGACACCAACATTGAAGATTACAAACAACCACAAGCTCCTATATTCAAGCTCTCCAAAGAAGATCAAGCCACCACAAAAGGGTCCTTTTTAGATAAGCATCCTTAACAACCGATCAAGCGCGAAGCCCGGAGTGAAGAAATCTACACCAAATCTCTCAAAACACCAAAATCAAAAAAATCTACATCAACACTTCAAGAAGTACGAGAAACACGCCAACGGCCCTCGTCTTCACCAAATTCAACCGTTAATCAAAGGTTGCTCACGTCATCGAGCAAAAATCAAAGAGAGTTCATTCCCTTGTTTGTTTTCTTTATTACAAATTTATTTTTGTAATTTGTCTCCATATTTTGTGCTAATCAAATATACGAAATTTGTGTCGACAAATTTCTGGCACGCCTGGTGGGACGCTCTCTTCCTCTCATCTTTTGAGTTGGCAACAGCAACAGTCATCCAATGGCTACCAAGAAAGCTACAACTTCCTTCCACAAGTCTTCTAGCGCTTTCGATTCTTCCTACAACCGTCCTGTCACACGTGCTATGGCGAAATCCAACAAAACACAGCTACCATCTCCAGTGGAGCTTCCTACATGGAAAATGACCAAGGCGACTACTCTGCGGAAGGAAAGCCTCTTCAACTCTCCACACATTGATGTGAAAGAAAAGAAACACTTTCTCCCTGATGACCAATCTAGCACTGCATCAAGGACGGAGTCCCACTCCTCTCCATCACACAACTCCTACTCTGCTTCTAATGGCGTCGTACCAGTGATGATGACAGAAGCCGCAATGATGGAAGAACGACTCTAGAAGGTGACTGAAGCCATTGACAACCTCAAGAGCTCCAATGCTGAGAAGGATCTCCACATTGCCTTCCTGATGAACAAACTAGAGATACAAAATTGCCAAGCAGAGTCCAGTCAAGGACCTTCTCACCCTCCAGGATTCACTCCTCCAATGACTCCTAACCTCCAAGAGCAGCAGAAGCAGCAAAAAGAGGAGCACGATCATGTCACAGTGCAGAACATGATGCAAGACACCACCCAAGTTTCTGTCGCTTCTCCGACGATGCAACAACTCCAGTACATGACTGCTAACACCATAAGGGCTCAATATGGAGGAGTTCCACAGACCTCTCTAGTGTATGCCAAACCATACACTTGTTGCATTGATAAGATGCGCATGCTAGTCGGCTAATAACCTCCTAAGTTCCAGTAGTTCGACGGGAAGGGCAATCTGAAGCAGCACATAGCCCACTTCATCGAGACTTGCAACAACGCGAGAACCTACGGCGACCAAATGGTCAAGCAATTTGTTCGCTCCCTCGAGTCTACAATGTTTGATTGGTACACCGACCTCCAGCCTGGCTCCATCAATAGTTAGGAGCAGCTTGAGAAAGAATTCATCACTCGCTTCTACTGTACATGACTAACCGTTGGACTTCCAGAACTCTCTACTACAAGGCAAAGAAAGGATGAGTCCATCATCGACTACATCGAGCAGTGGAGGAACCTCGCCCTTCAATGCAATGAACAAATCAGCCAATCCTCTACCATAGACACATGCATTCAAGGGATGCATTGGGGACTACTCTACAACCTCAAAGGGAACATGCCTACTACCTTCAAAGAGTTAGCTACTCGAGCTCATGACTTGGAAATCCAGATAGCCAAGCCTGGGAATCCCCAACTAAGTGATCCTCATGAAAAGAATGATGGAAGGAAATAAGTTAAGAAGGACCTTAGGACCTCCTCCTCCAAAGGAAAGGAAGTCATGAATACTACCACTGCACCAGTTAAGATCTCCGGCAAGAAGAAGAAGATAGAAATCAAAGTGAAATCTTTTGCAAATTAAGGCCAAGAGAAGTTTAGGCCTACTCTGAAGGAACTAGAAGAGGAGTATCCATTCCCCGACTCCGACATTCCAGAAATACTCAGCCAACTACTCCAATTTCCTCACTCAATTGGATAGAGGTGTAAATCGACCCCCAACACAGCACGACCTATGGGCGGCCTGTGCTTTGGCAGGCCATGTCGTGCTGTGCAATGGGCAAGCCTTTGGGATACTCTAGAGGTCAGGTCCAACACAACTCATGGCATGATACTAGGCGGGCATAGGTCGAGCCGTCGTGCTGTGCAATGGGCAAGCCTTAGCTCAGGCCATGAGAGGCATATTTAAAAAAAAATGAAAATTTAAAATAAGGTAGCTAAATAGACAAAAAATTGAAAAAAAAAACTTAAAATTTTATTTTATATGAATTTTGATGTATAAAATTGTTTACATATGAAATAGTGAAATGGAATTAAAAAAATTAAAAAATTACAATACAATTGGAATAAAATAGTGTAATAAAATTGAAAATAAAAATTAATATATAATTATTAATACATATTTGTATATAATTATATATACATAATATATATGGGTCTGCCCCATGTCAGGCCACGGGTGACACAGCCCATTAGCCCAATTAACATCTCTGCAGCTGGAATGGTTTTGCCAACTTGTAAAGTATGCGTATGAGATGTATTGATTGGCAGCTCTATAGCTGTAAGTACAAATGGGGGGAAGACAAGTTAGAAATATTGAGCTGCTTTTTCAATTAAAGCTTGGGGTGACGGGGTAACATTTTCAAAGATGAGCTTGTTTCTAGCTTGCCATAACATTTTCAAAGATGAGCTTGCCATTCCCAAATAGGGTATGATAGATTCCTTTGTCTGTGATTGATCACAGAGAGTTCAACCAATCCATAAAGATTGAATAAATCGATTTGTATTACCAAAAAAAAAAAAGAATAAATCGGTTTGACTAACACTCCATTGGGTTCATCCCCACTTGGCCATGACACCACACAACTCAAGCAAACGAGAATTTTGAAGAATAGGTGGTGTGCAGTTTCAGGGTGATATTGGTAAAAGGGTCACTTCAAGTCCTCTCGTGGAGGCCAGGCACACTTGTCCTCAGTGAGAAGTCTATCCCATAAAAATGTCTAAATAAAAAGTTGGAATGTATGTTGGATCAAGAATTTATTGCAGTCATTCTGTTCGGCAAGAGTTATTTTCATCTAACAAATCTGCCACCTTCATCTGATGATGATCAATATTCAAAGAGCTACAAGATGTAGTGGTACCCCTTCAAACAGTTGGGATCCAAGCATCATGGAACACAGGGTCCGTTTGGTTTACAGTTGGAATTGGGATTAGAATTGAAATCGGAATCTTTCGGAATTGGAATATTCTATAATCTGTTTGGTTTAGATAGGAAATAGGAATTGTAATTAAAATCAGTAGGAATATTGGAATTTCATTCCTAAGAGAGGGGCAGGGAATGGCCATTTT